CCGCAGTTTGCTCACCCCTGGACTAGAATAATAGAATGAGAACAGAAGAATAGAATAGAATAGAATAGACTAGAACAGTGGTCAGCAATCTTAAACATTTGAAGAGCCATTTGGACCTGTTTCCCACAGAAAGGAAAACATTGGGAGCCACAAAACCCTTGACTATTAACTGAGCAGCCATAAAACCAGCATATGTTATTGAATTAAATGTTCTGTTTTCTTCTGAAACTTTTTTCCCCTTGGATTTATCCATGGTTGGCCTTCCGGGTTCAAAGAGTTCAATAAATCACGTTCTGGTGGGTGTCCAACATTGGCAGTTGTGACACATATTTTGAATGACAGGGAGCCTCAGCAGAGGGATGAAAGAGCCACATGTGGCTCCAGAGCCGCAGTTTGCTCACCCCTGGACTAGAATAATAGAATGAGAACAGAAGAATAGAATAGAATAGAATAGAATAGAATAGAATAGAATAGAGCCTGGTGAGATTTGAACTGCCAAAGTGCAGGCAGCTGGCAATCAGCAGAAGGAGGCTGAAGTACTGCATTCTAACCACTGTGCCACCTTGGTTTTATGTAATATCAAGAGCAAGAAAGTTTACCTATAGGGGTGAAACATACTCTAAATTCACAACCGACAGAAAATATGCAGAAGAGGCTCAAGCGCACCCTTCTCGAATTAACTATAAGAAGTAGAATACATACATAGATACGGCACAGTTTGACTTACAACATTTTATTATTATAGCCACACTCCATAAAAGTAGTTTTAGCTTTCCCATGGAGTTTGTCTCCTGGTTTGTCTTTGGGGCCAGACACCAAAGTACGAAAGGCCATTGTGAAATGACTACATAGCAATTCATCTTGAGCACAGATATCACAACCTTGTAGGCACTGAGCTTTTGCCACGATAGAAGACCATTTTTTAAAAATTTCCTGGCTTTCTTTGGAATTACTTTTACATGTATTTTTGCAAAAGCCTCCACAACAAGAGATTTGTTAATTTGCATACATTGTTTAGCAATAAGTCAGTTTAATTGGGCCATTATATGTGGACCAGATCAGAGGTGGTATTCAGCAGGTTCTGACCAGAGGTGGGTTCTTAGCAGTTCGGACTGGTTCAGCCAAGTTGGTAGTTATTCGGCTGGCCACCCCCCAAACCGGTTCTATCAGCAGCATGCGCAGAAGCATTTTTTAACCTACTGCTCATGAGTGTCCCTGAGTGAACTGGCAGTAGAAGAAGCCGGAACCCACCCCTGGTTCTGATCAGTTCTGGAGAGCCGATAGCAGAAATTTTGAGTACTTCAGAGAACCAGTAAATACCACCTGTGACTGGCCCCGCCCCCATCTATTCTCTGCCTCCCAAGTCCCAGTTGATCGGGAGGAAATAGGGATTTTGCAGTATCCTTCCCCTGGAGTGGGGAGGGAATAGAGATTTTAAAGTATCCTTCCCCTGCTATGCCCACCAAGCCACGCCCACAGAACTGGTAGTAAAAAAGTTTGAATCCTACCACTAGACCAGATCTTTTCTGCCTGACAGCTTTAAATGCTGAACAGCAATGACAAATTTAACTTTGCACCCAAGAAGCCCATCTCAGAGTCATCCCAAGGTAACTGAACAATAAAATACTGTATTTTTCAGACTATAAGATGCACCAGAGTATAAGACACACTGGAGTATAAGACGCACCAAGATTTTGAAGAGGCAAATTAAAAACTTTTTTTTGCATTCTGTAGACCTCCCAAAACTGGCCCATTTTTTGCGAAAACAGGTCCGTTTTTTGTCAAAAAGAAGGGCATGCATAACCTTTAGGAGGCTTATAGAGTGCTCCTGTGGGTAGGGGGGGGGGCAAAAATGAGGAAAGAATTGTCTGCTTTTTCTCATTTTTGCCCTTCCCAGCCCCCAGGAGCACTCAATAAGTCTCCTAAAGGCTATGCACGGCCATTTTTGCAAAGGGGGCTGGGTTTCAGGAGGCCAAAAACACTGTATTCAGTGTATAAGACACACCCAGATTTTTACCCTCTTTTTTGATGGAAAAGGGTGCGTCTTATACTCCAAAAAATATGGTAACTCACAGACTGATGGACTTCATGCCCAGAGACTGAGCAGAGGACAACCGGTAGATGCTCACCTTTGTCCTGGTAATGCCAACCCCCGGCGTAGAATTCTTCCAAAAGGGAAGGTGGTCTCCAGGTTTGCAGAATGTAATCCACCTGGTATTGCTTTCGCCATGCCAAGGACTGGCAGAGCATTTCCCGAGCCTTGTCAATATTAAAGTCCCGAGCCCTGAGGAAACGGAGGATGTATTCATCTTTGGGTACCTGAGTAAAAGAGAGAGTTAAGTTAATGCTCGGTTTGTTGATTAGACCCAAAAACAAGAAAGTCCAGTTGCCTCTTGAAAAAGCACCTTTGGGACAATCCTGACCTGGATGACTGAGAATCTCTGTAGACGTTTAGTTGTGCAATTTGGGATGGACACCTTGGAATGGTGTGAGAATAGGAATGGATTTCCAGAGGTGAAAAAATTGCAGACTACAGGAACTATTTGCACCACTCAGGTGACCCTGAGGATACAGACAAACATCCAAGTGGCCTCAACGACCCTCCAAAAAGGTGGAAATGACCAGCTGTCTGCAAGGAATATCAATCCTTCCATTCCCAACCATCCTGTCAGAGCTGAAGAAGCTTCTTGGATGAGAAGCAAAACGTCTTCAAAAGAAGAAAAAGCAAGAAAGTCCAGCTGCCTCCTGAAAATGCACCTTTGGGACATCTTTAAGTCACACAGCAAGGAAAACAGTTCAAAGGAGTCCTTTAGATAGAAGGAAACTGGTTTAGAATGCAATCTTGTCAGCCACTAATACAAACCACTTTGAGTTCCTTCACAAGTGGGACAGGAGCATCCAGAGAAGACACAAGTTCTACGCAACCACAGCTTCCCTGCTCCCATTTACCTTTCCTTTCTGCATTTCTTGGAGCCACTGGCGAAGTCTGATCAAGCAGCTTTCCTGCATGGGGCTTAATTGTCCCAGGTAACGTTCTATGTAATCAGCATCCAGTTTGTCCCCTGGGGAGACAGAAAAATCAGCCATGGTAGAAGCTCAGAAAAAAAATAAAGCAACCATGGGAGAATAAAGCTATTAACACATTTCTTGCCATTTGCTTGCAGGCAGCCTGAATTTTTACAAGTTGTCCTTTCTTACCCGCTGCCTCGTTCAGTAACCATCTGACTGTGGCAACAGTGCTGAAAACAAATAACCTTACAACCCATGCTTACATTTATGGCCTCTGCAGCATCAATTCAATCTTAAATTGCATTAACAGCGGGATTCAATCAAGATCAAGGGAGGTACTAATACCACTTTATAAGGCTCTAGTAAGACCACACCTAGAGTACTGCATCCAGTTTTGGTCACCACAACTATAAAAAAGATGTTGACACTCTAGAAAGAGTGCAGAGAAGAGCAACCAGGATGATGAGGGGACTGGAGGGGCTAAAACATACAATGAACGATTGCAGGAACTGGGCATGGCTCATCTAGGGAGGAGAAGGACCAAGGGAGACCTGATAGCAGTCTTCCAGTATTTGAGGGGCTGCCACAGAGAGGGGGGTCAAGCTATTGTCCAAAGCACCTGAAGGCCAGGCAAGGAATAAT